GGATCGAGCCCCGCATCAGGCTCCCTGCTCAGCGGGAAGCCTGCTTCTCCCTCTCCCACTCCCCCTGCTTGTGTTCCCTCTCTCGCTGTGTCTCTCTGTCAAATAAATAAATAAAATTAAAAAAAACAAAACAAAACATGGACATCATGTGGGGAGGGCAGATCCTGCTGCCTACCCAGTTCACCCTCCAGGCCCCAGAGGTTCACATCCAGCACACATGCAGAATACTTTCACTGGATCCCAACATCCCACAGAGTTTCAACACATTACAGCATCAATTCAGATCCAAAATCTTACCTAAATCTTAACTTCAGAGTCTCAGATCTCATCATCGAAATGAAATCATCTAAGTCAGATAAGGATGAGGTTCTGGGTTTAATCCAATCTGAGGCATAATTATTCTCCATGTGAGCCTGTGAAACAAGTCGGCTGTTCCCAAAATTCAGCGATGGGACAGGTGTAGAATAACAAACATTCTTGTTCAAAAGAGAAAATGGAAGGAAAAAAGGAGCCTTGGATAACAAGCAATTTCAAAATCCAGCTAGGCAAACTCCATTTGGTTTCAGGCCATGGGAATAAGCCCGTGTGGCTCATAGCTCCTGCCACCTGGGTCAGCCTGCTCTTCACTTCTAGACAAGCCCGCTCAGGCCCTGATACTAGCTTAGCACTTGCCCAGCATTTTCCTGTAAGCAGAAATGTTTCGTTGGGCTCCAGGATGCAGCCAGGAAGATCCTTGAGGTCAGAATCCAAATTTCCCCTTCAAATCGAGGGGAACAAAGGTCCAGATAGACAAAATGACTTGCTGGGGGCGGGGGGCAGGGTGAAGGGGGACACACAGCAAGTTAGGGGAGGGGCTGGGAGACCAAAAGCCAAGTGTCCCCATACTGCTCATCCTCCAATCTTCCCATCACAACTTTCCAGTAGCACTTGACAGACTCAACTGGTCTCAAGAAGAAATAACCCCATTTCCTGGAAACTTAAGGAAAGGTGGAGCCATGCCATCGTACAGGCAACTCGAATGCAGATCCAAACCACCTCAATTACTTACCAACTAGTATTCATTACCTACTGTGTGCTGAGCACTAGCAAACACAGAAGGTAGGGTAGTGGATTAAAGGAACAGGATCTCAGGTTTAAGAGGTTTATAGGCTAGAGGAGAATTTATAAAATCAAATAATCAGACACATTTGTAATTAAGAACTAAGACAAGTGAGTGGTTTTGTTTTTTAGAGAGAGAGAGTGGGGTGGGGGGCAGAGGGAGGGGAAGAGAGAGAATCTTAAGCAGTCTCCACACCCAGCATGAAGCCTGAGCGGGACTCGATCTCATGCCCTTGATATCATGACCTGAGCCGAAATCAAGAATCGGACACTCCAACGACAGAGACATCCATACACCCCAAGATGAGTGAGTGTTATGAAGAAAGTAGAGGAAGCTATGAGAGGTGTCAGTAGGAGGACCTGTCCTGAGGGTAGGAAGCTCCCCTGGGCCAAAGCCTGTTTGCATCACTCCCTGCCTCAACAAAAGGAAGAGCCCTGCCAAATGCAGGTCTAGAAGAGACAAATGAGTAGCAAATAATGATGGTGGTGTGATAGGGGACGGAGGGACCTGTATAAAGTGTTCTGGGAACATGAATGAATCAGAAAGACTTTGAGGCCCTTCACGTGGACCCTCTCCCCACCTCGTATAAGCATCCCTTCTAAAACATCCAATCCTAAAAAAAAAACAACAAAACAGCTTCTGTGAGAACCCTTCCAATGATGATAATCAGGCCTTTAACAGCCCTTTGCAAAGTGTTCAAAAACACTTGCGTGCACACAATCACAATTGGATTCCCCACATCTCTTTTTAAATGAAGACGTGGAAGGAATGGCCCCAGAAATGACAGATGAATGTTAGTAACAGGGAGGCCCTGGTAGTTTTCTTTTGACACCAAAACAATTTGTAGATAAGAAGAAGAAAAAGAGGGGCGCCTGGGTGGCTCAGTCGGTTGGGCATCTGACTCTTGGCTTTGGCTCAGGTCATGATCTCAGGGTTGTGGATCGAGCCCTGCATCAGGCTCTGTGCTTAGCAAGGAGTCTGCTTAAGATTCTCTCTCCCTCTCCCTTTGCCCCTACCCCCTCTCCCCACACTTGTGCTCATGCGCACAAAAGCATACACACACACACTCTCTCTCTAAAAATAAATCTTTAAAAAAAAAAAAGAAAAAGAGACAACCCATTTTTAAAACTTCATAACGGAGGATATGCAAATGGGAGATAAACATAAAAGCATGCTGAACTCTGTTAGTCATGGGGAAAGGTACATTAAAATCACAATGAGATATCACTACATACTTGTGACCTCCTTTTCTAACTTTAAAAAAAAAAAAAAGCAACCTGATAGTACAATGTGGTGAAGACATGAAAACTAGAACTCTCATGCACTGCAAGTGTGGAGGTAAATTGGCACAACCATTTTGGAAAATGTTGGCAGTATCTACTAAAGCCAGTAATACACATACCCTATCCCCCAGAAATTCCTCTCCTAAATATATACCCAACAGAAGGATGTATGTATGCTCACCAAAAGACATGTACAAAAATGCTTACAGATGCACGATCTAAGACTGGAGACAACTCAAATTCTCATCAACAATCAAGTAGATAATTAAATAGTCACATGAGGAACACTACTTAACAATGAAAATGAACAACCCCCCATTATGAACAGCAATATGGGTGAATTTCACAGAAAGACTATAGAGTGAATGAAACCAGGCCCATCAGAATATGCACTGTGTGAGTTCATTTTTAGGAAGTTCAAAATAGGCAAAACTCACAGCTAAAGAAATGATCAACAAAATGAAAAAACAACCAATGGAATGGGAAAAAATATTTGCAAATCCTATATCTGATAAGGGGTTAATATTTAAAATATATAAAGAACTCACACAAGTCAACAGTAAAAAACCAAATAACCCAGCTTGTTAAAAAAAAAAAAAAAAGTAGGAAGGGAAAAATGAAGGGGGCAGAAATCAGAGGGGCAGACGAACCATGAGAGACTATGGACTCTGAGAAACAAACTGAGGGTTCTAGGGGAGGGGGGGGGGGGGCATGGGTTAGCCTGGTGATGAGACAAACCATGAGAGACTATGGACTCTGAGAAACAAACTGAGGGTTCTAGGGGAGGGGGGTGGGGGCATGGGTTAGCCTGGTGATGGGTATTAAAGAGGGCACATATTGAATGGAGCACTGGGTGTTATACACAAACAATGAATCATGGAACAGTACATCAAAAACTAATGATGTAATGTATGGTGATTAACATAACATAACAAAATTAAATTAAAAAAAAAAAACCACCGAAGGACCTGACTAGACATTTTTCCAAAGAAGATATATGAATGGCCAACAGGTCTATGAAAAGATGCTCCGCATCACTAATCATCAGGGAAGTGCAAACCAAAACCACAGTGAGATATCACCTTACACCTGTTAGGATGGCATCAGAAAGACAAGAGATAACACTGGTGAGGATGTGGAGAAAGAGGAGCCCTCTTACACTGTTGGTGGGAATGCAAACTGGTGCAACCATGGTGGAAAACAGTATGGAGGTTCCTCAGAAAATTAAAAATAGAAATACCATATGATCCAGCAATTCCATTTCTGGGAAGATATCTGAAGGAAGCAAAAACTCTATGTCAAAGAGATATCTGCACCCTCATGTCACTGCCACAGTGGTTTTTGTTTGTTTTTTAATTTTTTTATTAACAGTTG